ATAAACTTCTATTGTGTTAATCTCCAAGCTACAAGATGAAACATGTAGCTAGGAGCCCTGGTAATTTTAGAAATCAGGTCATAGCAAGCACTGACCACACCTTCTAGACATTCCCATTTTTTAAATCAATGTTGTCATCAGACATGTGTCTAAGTTAGATCATTTCTTTTAAAAAAAATGATTTTAGAGGATAGAGGAAAGAAGAGTGAGGGAAAGGCATCTCTCTGTTGTTGCACTTATTCGTGCATCCATTGACTGATTCTTGTATGTGCCCAGAGGATAGAACCCACAACCTTGTCATGTAGGCATGATGCTCTAACCAGTTGAGCTAGATCATTTCTCTGGGGAAGTAAATCCTAAAATACCCACAAGAGTTGTAGAAAGTCAAATTGCCTAACATTGCCCCTCTCTCAACTTTCTGTTTTATTTTTTATTGAATTTATTAGGGTGACACTGGTTAACAAAATTATACAAGTTTCAGGTGGACAATTCCACTACACATCACCTGTACATTGTACTGTGTGTTCATGACCCCAAGTGAAGTCTCCATCCACCACCATTTTTCACCCCATTCCCTCCTCCACCTTCCTCCACTTCACTTCCTCGCAGAAATCTCCACACTGTTGTCCCTGTCTATGAGTTTTTTCTCCTTTCCTTTTTTTGCTCAATCCCTTCACAGACCCCACCTAGCCCAACCCCCAACATCTGTCAGCCTGCTTGCTATCTATGAGCCTGTCACTACTTTAGGACAATCATCTAATTGTCCATTCTATCTAAATAATGTTTGTGAAAGCAGAAAAAGGGATCCCAAATACAATTAGATGGTTATAAAGATTAAACCTGACAGAAGTTAAATTATGAACACTTTTTTCCTGTTGACTTTGGGAGCTATCCTTAAATTACTATCTAGTTAACTTGTAAGACAACAAGAGGACACACTTCACTTAGGTCCAAGTCACTTTCTGACTTACATGACTGACCTTGCACTGATGGATGAGTCACAAATTAGAAGTGGGGCTCTTTTGTTCTGTTCTACTATCTTTTGCTTCCTGAACTTTCTCCTTTTAAAATATGGGTGTGTCATAGCTAGGTTGCTAATTTCAGTCCTTCTTTCCTTCTTACAGCCAGAAAGAAATATCCCCAGTATGGTAGCTTGGATTTGAGGAGAGAGTGCAAAAAGGGTAATGGTCGGTGTAAAAATGAGTGCCACGAAAATGAAATTAGGATTGCTTACTGCATGAGACCTGCAACTCATTGCTGCTTGCAGAAGTAAAGATGACAGAAGAAAAGAAAGAGACACATGGTCCAAGAAGAGAGGACTGGTGTTATTAAGCCTCCCCAACATATCTTTCAAGGCCTGTGTATCTCTGTAATACACAAGGAATTAAATAAAATTCAGTATTGAACCATTCAGAAGTGGTTCTATGTCACACATGCATCTGGTGCCTTTACATTGCATTTTCACTTTATCTCTTGGTACCAGAGTAAGCAGAATGTTTTTTGTTTTTTTTGTTATGGACACTCCTCAACAACTATTCAAAGTTCTATGCACCTTGTGTGAGTTGACATAAATACTGTGAGAAACCCTAGGTCAAAGAAATGGGAGGAGCATATTTCTGATAGAAGCTTCAGTAGAAATGTGCTATTATTTTATTATATAAAATATTTAATACTGTTCAATACATAACCCCAAGAAAAAATGTGAACCATAACACTTGAAAGAGTAGACATTGAGAGTGCAGATCTTTTTTCATGAGACACACAGAGCTTAAGGCAGAAAATGACTTAAAAAGCAGAGGGAAATCACAACAAACTCCTATTTCTATAATTATTTATTACTTAGTGGAGAAAATATGTGTATCAAGAAATAGAAAAGGGAGTAAGAAAGAGAGAAAATTTTCAAAAAGGTGAAGAGGCTATACATAATTAAATTTTTCTAAAGATTTTACTTATTGATTTATTTTTTTTTAGAGAGCAGGTAAGAGAGGAAGAAAGAGAGGGAGAAAACATTGATGGGAGAGATAAACTCAATCGACTGCCTCTCCTATGCACCTCAACTGGGACCAGGCCTGCAACCCAGGCATGTGTTCTGACAAAGAATCAAACTGGCAACCTTGTGGTTTGCAGGACAACGATCAACGAATGGAGACACACGGGTCATGTCTATAATTGAATAGTTTGACAAAGGAAGTCAGAAACTATGACTAATAGCTGCATTCACCTCCTCTGTCCTTGGAAATGACCCTGAGGATATAGACAGAGAAAGAAAGGGGGCGTAATCTTCACTCTTCAGCTCCGTTCTTCCTGAGTTCCTTTCCACAATATTCTCAGTCATACCTCTGTATCATACAGTTTCTGTTCAGAAGTGCAAAATCTGCTTCTTTTATCAGTTTAGAAATACAGTTTAGTAATTTGTATTAATTCAGATTTTTTAAAAGCACCAATACTACAACATAGAATAGAAACAGAAAATTTCCTTTCCCCCAGAATAAAATTGAAAAGAAATTGGTAACTTAAGTAAAGAAAAAGGAGATTTTCTAAATGAATACATGTGGATCAGACTTGGACTCAGATAAGAAGTCAAAGAATTTCCAGGCCCCACCTACTCTCTTGATATTTATATCACATTCCATTTTCTGAACCCAGGTATGAGATCTAAGGATCTATTTCACACGAACCATTATCTATTACAGTGACATGCAAGGAGAAAGAATACTTTTCATTTTGATAAAGTTTCTATATATATTTCTGTCACAAGAGACTGTTTAATTTTTAGTTTTATTTTAATAAGCACATGAATTCCCACTATGAAACAGTTCTTTGCTAAGGATACATCGGAGCCTGACATGAATGGTCTTTCACCTACCTCAGTAACTAAAAATAGACTGACTGCCTAATCTGTTCCCTTGTGGCATGAATATCTCCAAAATTATTTTTACAATATTCATGTAAACAGGGTTTCTTAACCTTGGCCCTATTGATATTTTGGTCCAGACAGTTTTGTTGTGGTTGTGCATTCTGCCTTTAGCTGCAGGATGCTTCCCTGCATCCCTAGACTTTACCCACAAAATGCGAGTAACACTCCTCCCACTGACTCTGACTATAAAAATGTCTACCTGCAAGGCCAAACATGTTCTGTGAAGGGTCCGGGTTAGAACCCCTGGTTCACAGAAATTTAAAAATGAAAATGGACAGAAATGTTTTCAGGTAGTAAATACATTTTCTGTTTCTTGTGAGAATAAATTTCTATTTGAAATGATCATGTGTTAGTATATATGAACCAGAGGTGATATATTGGTGACTCCAAATAAAAAAATAGCCTAACCTTTGGATGATAAGTATATCAGACATATTGAGATAAGTAAAATTAATTCCTTGTTATAAAAGTGTGATTATTATTTATTCTACCTAAGCAGATTCCAGGCCATTATTACATCAAGACCTACGAAATAGAATTGAGAAGCCTAGTATACTATTCATATGGGGTTAATAAGAACCGACTTTTTCAGTGGTCACTGAGTAGCGGTAGATGGTGAGAGATGTTCTGGAAGGCACTTGAGACATGAACTAGTCTGTACTGGCAGACCCTCCATCCTTCAGTGTTTGACAGACAAAACTAAAACCATTTAAGGTCTGTGCTGACTCCTCCTTGAATATAGTCCAGTGAATGTATATTCAAGTCACAATCCTCTGCCTTCGGTCCAACGGACAAATGTGACAAACTTGAAAGAGAAAGCGAATCTATAAGCAGCAGCCATGCAATTAATATCACTCCACGGAGAAATCTTTTAAGGGTTGTGTGTGATGATATCCACTAAAAACTCTAGGGGCCCTTTTGATGAGATTCTGCAGTCTGTTCCTTAAAGAGAGAGTGGTGTCACTAATTATTTATATTGCCCTCAGCATTCATTAACAAATTTTTTTAAGAAAAAAAGGCAAATACTTATAAACGGGGAGATTTCTGGCAATATTCTTTCTCATACCCTGTAATTTTCATTGGACTGATTGACAAGACAGTTAGATAATATTAAACTCATTAACTCTAAAAACCTGAAGTTTTGCATTTTCCCTTCCTTTGGCCCCAAATCTAAATTTCTGTGGCATTGTGTATTTTTTTTTCACTTTTAATTTTCTGTAAGTCTTGATTAGCATTGACCTTGATGAACTAATACCACCAGGTTTTGGACACAATGTTTTATTGTTATTTACACAATACACACTTGAATCCATTAAAAATATTATGTTGAAATGAGGTATGTCACCATCAAAACCAGCACAGGACTAGGAGGAAAAGAATTAGAATTCAACTAGATTCCAAACATTCAAACCCAACCCATTTCAAGATTTATTTTATCTCAATGTCTTGGGGCGACAACAATAACTAATTCCAATGACGTATTTATTTATTCAGACAACATTTGACTAATGACTTCCCTCTTCCCAAGTATAATGTCATGGGTTTTGGATTTAAAGTTTAAAACATTATAGCTCCTATTTTAAGGAACTGATAGTTATTCCTCACAAACTGAGTTTTAAGTACTATCCTATTCAACAGAGTTATAAAATGAATAAGACACAGGATCTTTCCTCAGGAAGATCAATGTCAATTCATAACACTGATAGTATATGACTCAGACACTGCATTCCACACCCTATGTCTCATTTATTCATGAATTCAGTAAATACTCATTGAGAACTTACCATGTGTTAGCCATATTATAAGATCAGAACAAATCAATAAACAAAGCTGGTGATATTTTCTATCTTTGTGGAGCTCATATTTTAGATGTAGAGAAAAATGCAAACATTAACATAATAATTAAGCAAATTAAATTAGAAAATAATAAATCAAAGTTAAAGGATGCCAAAATGATGGTGGACTATACCAATTTTAAATAGAATTTTTCAGAGGGCCCTTATTTAGCAGGCGCCATTTGAGCAAAATAATAAAAGAGGCAAAGAAGTGGTCATGGGAGCACACTGAGGTCTGTGGGGGACGCATGCGAGATGAGAGTGGCTGGGCGAGAGTGGCTGGGGAGGGCGGTTCGTCAGCAAAGGACCATGTTACCAGATCACCGAGAGGTTTTTAGGAACTAGAAAAGGTCTTGTCTTTTATTCTGAGATAAACCCAATGGGTTTTAGTCAAAAAGAAAGCATGATTTACATTTTGTTTTGAGAAGACCTCTTTGAAGTGCTTTCAGGAGTTGGAGGTATTGAAGTAATGTAGGTCATACATTGTGGTAGCACCATCCAGAGTGCAACAAGAAAAGCAATGAGGAACGGCATGGCTCTGGATGTGTTATAGGTAGAATTCAATTTCATAAGAGATTTTTTTCCTTCAAGCTACTTGCTGATTTGCCTTATTCTATTCTTTACCAAACATCTTGAAAAGCAGCCCAAACTCACTGTCTCCAACTTTACCAGCTCTTACATACTCTTCTCCTCAATACACTCACCCACAGCAATGAACAAACTCTTCTTGTGAATGGTATTTTTTCTAAAATCAAACCCCTAATCCTATTTCAATTCTTCTGAACAGCACTTTAGTTAGTCACTATTTTGACAATTATTAGTTGAGTTTTTCATTTTTGATGGTCTTTTAAATGTGGGACTTCTAGTGTTTTGTTCCTGAATCCCTTTTCTTCTTGTTTTATGTGCTTTCCTGAGGTTATTTTGTTTAGTACAATAATTTCTTCTGTCAGCAAATGTTTTTTTTTTCTCAATCTTCTTCCCAAACCACAAAGCTGAATTTATTACAAGTCATAGAACTTACTTATCTGACTGGTCCCTAAATTCTTTAATCAAGATGTCTAAAATAGAACTCATCTTACTCACAAAGGTTAAAGCATGTCCCCTTCTTTTTACTCTCTGTTTCCCTGATTGTTGTTATCAAGCACACGGTATTAAGGGCTAAAAACACCTGACATCATTTACTTCCCAGCAGTCTTCCCCCAAATCCAAACATTAACTGGGCTGCTTCTAATTCATAACTATATCTTAAATTTACTTTCTTCTCTCTTTTTGAAATACCATTAACTTAATTATGTTTCCCATTATTTCATATTTAGAATGTTCTAGCAACCCACCACATAGCCTCTCTGCTACAAAATTTTTGAGAAAGTGGTGCTTAAAAGCTCTATAGGTTCTCCACTCCATTCACAATAATATCCAACTCCTCAACTTTACAGGTCTTTTGCCTAATCTGACTTTGTCATGTTTGCTGAAGCCTATGTCCCTATCTCCTCAGTCATGCTGAGAGTCACAGCATTCTTCATTGTTCACAAATTCTTTCAAAATACCATATCAAAGTCTAGGCTTCCCCTCAACCCCTTGAAAATATGTTATCAGCTTTTGGAGATGCAATCAAAAGTCACATGCTCATTGAGGTGCTCGAACACACAGGAAAGGAATTACGAATCCAACATGACTGCCTGTGAATCTTTTCTCTTCTTCTATTCCCTTGAAAACTTGCTCAAGAGCTCTTGACTTCATTTGTTCCAATGGGTGAAATTACAATGGTTATACCTATCTTAAAAGACTGTTGAGCATTAAATCAGATAATAATTTGCTCAGTAAAGAATCTGAAACCTAATAGGCACTTACTAAAGCATAGCTCTTAATAATGGCTGTGGTAGCAGTAGCTATGGTAGTAGAAGTAACAGTAAAATAGAGTTTTCCAGAAAGTTTTTACAGCTCTTTATTATATGCTGTGAGGACCTTTTATTTATATATCAGAACTGTCTTCACAGGTGATACTGTGTTGCTTCCACTTTATGCCATCACCTTCCAACAAACATTGTCTGCCTCTTGGGAGTAAGGTGCTTAGTTTTTTAATTCATTTTTTGCAGTATTACTCAGCACAGAGCTGAGTACAACATACTCGCTTACTAAATCATGGGTAGGGATCATGAGAGAAGGAATTCTCTTCATGTAAAAGTGAAAATGGAGAAAAATCAATGAGTTACTAAAGGGTAGTGTATAAAAATCTGGCAGAAATCTATAAATCACTCATATTGATGACCACATAAACTTAAATTCTTTCCCCCCCAAGATTTTGTTTATTTACTTTTAGAGAGAGGGGGAGGGAAGGAGAGAGAGAGAGAGAGAAACATCAATGTGTGGTTGCCTCTGGCATGCCCTCTACTGGGGACCTGGCTCACAACCCAGGCATGTGCCCTGACTGGGAATCGAACTGGCAACCCTTTGTTTTGCAAACCAGCACTCAATCCAATGACCTACACCAGCCAGGGATAAACTTAGATTCTTACCTGTGATAACATATTCCTTCACTCAGATATTTTTTTAGTTAGTTGCAAATTGATTATGTTGTTTCAAGCACTTTGCTACATGGAAAAGTCAGTCAGTGAACAAGGCTTTAAGACTGGAGGTTTGTGCTTTCAGTAGAGCAGACCATAAATGCTAGTACCAGTGCTTCACCAGGATCACTTTTAGGTGTGAATCCAGAAGGAAAGTCAAAAACATAGGATATGCAAATAACTTTGAAGACATCTATTTTCTAACACCGTAAGAGAAGTTTACATATTTTCTCATTATAACTTTGAAAAGTTCACAAAAACCTCAATTTCATGAGGAAATTGAAATAGAATGAACCAACTCATTTGTGTGCTATATCACAGCTAATGAATAGAGCATACAGAATTGAAACATAGTCATATTTGACTCTGTGAGATCATACCATTTCAGACAAATTATACAACCTTCCACTGACCTATGGCCTTGCTTCTACCTTGACTTCAAATTGGACCCAGTAAAAACAGACATCTTCCAGACCTACCTTCTCTGCCTCTCTGTTTGCAGGGAGAATCATGAAACAGGTGAAGAAGTCATCTGCAGATAACTAATTTGCTAGGAGATGGGGAGATATATGCCAGACATTTCTCCTGGAAGGATGGAGAACTCCCCACAAAGCCTGGGAAAGCTAACATTGAATCAATGCATGGGGGTCGCTGAACATTTAACCACTGGTTTCCTGACAGAGAGCCATGCATGTCCCTGCAGGACTTCTTATGTGCTGCTGTCCACAGCACACCTCCACCACACTTGTAGCTTGTTGTTCTGGTCCAGACTCCCAGGAACCTTTCTGGAATGTATATCCCTTACAAGGCCCCAAACTAGAGTTTGCATTTTTCTCTTTACATGAAAATTTGTTAGGACAGGTCTCATTTCAGCAGTAATATTTAGAATGTACAAGAGGTATCAGTAGATAAAAGAGATGTTATGTGTCCTTCCTCCAAACAGACATTCATTTTTGTTTTTATGTGCTATGTGTTAACTAGTTTTGATCACCTCACATTAATGCTTATGTATCTATATGTGACATTTGTGTGGCATTACACAGTTTATAACATATTACATAGCCAATTTTTACAAAAATGCTGAGATTATGTTATTTTCACTCATAGTTTTCACATGACATAGCTATGATTCTAAAATGATACTTTTTTGCAAATAACTAAGATGTGATAGAACCAATTTTGCTACATTTACTTTTTGTTTCCAGATCATATCATTTTGTAGATTTCTTAATGACTTCAAACATTTTTATCCTTTGAAATAATAAGAAAATTAAAAGGACATTGGTAGATTTTTAATTTTACTAGTGGTGATTATAAATACATAGTTCTGTTTTCTGAATTGAACATATATTAAAGATTGGCATGGATTTGGTGGGTTGACAAGATAGTAGGGTCTTAGGAATGTTGATTAGCTTAAAAAGTACTTACCCCAGCAAAAGTATTTTTTTAATTAAGTATAATAATGCATTACCCTCTTCCTTACTTTAAATTATGTCAAGAATGTTTCTGAAATAACTGTAGATCTCACTGATGGCCAGGAATTCCCCAGTGGCCAGAAACTCTGTCATCACGAATTAGTTTCCCATTCCCACAGGAGGTATACACACTCACGTGTCAGAGCCCATGTGGTACTTTCTTGCACTTTAAGCTTAACTTCCTTCTCTTTTCTTCTAACTTTATTAAGTATGCACATCTGAATCTTCTCTACATTCTATACACTTGAAGTTTCTGTCTAGTTCTCAACCTAATGCTTAGAAAAAATTAGGTACTCAGATAAACACCTGACATATGGAATTGAAATGAAATCATTCTGAATTTCAATTAGGTATGAAGCAGGCAATTAGGTTCTATGAGTTGACATTATGTAATTTTAATGTAAATTCAATTTAATTCATTCCCCACATTTTAATGAAATTATTCCTCTTTATTTTTATTGACATGCAAAATTTAATATTCAAAATATATTTGTGATAGCTGTGTTTACTCTATTCTGTAGGTAGGTGGAATGACTTTATCCAAGATCCATCAGGACTATGATAACATTTGGGGCAAATAAATAGTCCTGACTTCTAATCTCTTTATTTAAATGGATTGGTTGCAATTGAATCATTAAGGAAAATAAAATCTTAAAGTAACAAAAATATTTACTTCCATTTATTATAGACTAATGTATAAGAGGAAAACTGTGAGTTTGGAGTCTCAGAACATGCTTCTTTGCATTATTTCAGGTGACTCACAACAGACTAAAAGACTAACATGGGACTCTTTTTTTTTACTGAATATCTAATTTATAACAAAACTGTGTTTATATGTATATGAGTATATCTAAAGTGGTTTCCTGTCCTCAGTAAATTACTTTGTCAGTGGCTATCTTCATGCCTACTATGTTATAATTGTTGGGCTATACCGGGAAGAAGATAATGAAGAGTCAGAATAAATGATAACCAACAATTAAGGGCTTATATTTAGGCTGCAAGAATAAAAGTATAACAAATGTTTAAGAAAAGTACATATAATTTAGTACTAAATTATGTTATATTACATTATTCATTCATTACTTGTAGGCTGGCAAAAGGGACATATCCATTTGTTCTAGTAAATGCAGGGTTATATCAGTTAAGAGGAGGTCTGGGATGAAGAAGAAAGCATTGAACAAATGATTCTGTGAAGAGCCAATAGGAGTAGATTTAAAACACTGAGAACACATGCAAATGAAAATTGCATATGTTTTAAATACTATAAGCATCATCTTAATGAAGATGTGCATGAGTAAAACTGGTCTTAATAAAGTAAGGAAAAAAGATGGGAGGGCAAGAGGCCCTGAGAGCCAGAAGAAGTTCATTACTGATGTGAGATATAAGATAAGGACATACATTTTTTTGGAAATAAACTGGCTTGGTCACCAGCTGAAACAAGTAATAAAGTATGTTATAAAACAGTCTGACATCCCAGAATCTCCATCTTCCACAAACATGATCTCATGACTTAGAACAGAGATTTTTCTCCCCTCAGTAAGAAGATCCCCAAATGAAAAACTGGATTGGTGACTTTATCTTTCTTGATTGCAGCTGGAAGTAACTTTGAACCAAAGTATAGATTTGAGAGATGTGAAAAAGTGAAAGGAATATGTAAAACGTTTTGTGATGACGATGAGTATGATTATGGATACTGCATTAAATGGAGAAATCAGTGCTGCATATAAACTCTGGATACAAGAAGTACTGTTGAGTAGCCCAGTTTGGAGCTGAAATACATTTTCTTAACTCAAAAGTAGGTAAAAAGAAAATGTTTAAAGTATTTACTGGAAATATGCTTTTTTAAATCCTAAATATCACTGTTTACATAAATAAAAATAATTTTCAGTCTTTATTCATTGACTGCCCACTTTCTTTGTATTTCAGATGGATGAACATGTTAATTAACCAAGGAAACAGATTCTAATTAATAGGGGACTCAAGAGTTGGAAAATTTTAGTTTAAGGTAAATAGTTATAAGCCTAGTAGGTAATGCATATGTTAAAGCTTTTGTTTCAGAAACTACAGGTAAGGCCCATTTTGCCCCCGCCCCAAACAGTTGACCTCCTGGGACATTGCTAAAGATTACTGCCTGGGGACAAGTGGAAGCAATCCGGGCCATTGTGTTCCAGGGAGAGAAAGAGGACCACCTGCCCCTGGAAACAGCTACTTGTCCAGGATGAGAATGCTGCAGTTTTCTTTTATCTAATTTCCCCTGAATTTCAAAACCCTTCATTGCTCTGTGTTTTCTGTTATAGAAAGGCTGGCTTGGAAGGAAATGTAAGATAGTCAATTAGGGTATGAACCTGCCATCTTCTCAGACCACAAGCCCTCTCAATAAAGCACCCATATAAAGATTCAACCCCTGCCTCTCCTTAGTGGGTTTGGTATGTGACAGGCAGCATGAATGCTGGTGTCTTTTCTGATTTCATAATGGCACTTATAACCTCCTTATCGTCATTTTGCACCTAGACACTCATGCTACTTATCTGAGTTGCTGAGCTTCCTGTCTCTCTCTATATGTGTGACCGCATTGCTACTTTAATATGATAATCAGGGTTTACTTCATAGATTCCTTTGTTCCACATCAAAATCTCTATATATGTAGCCTAATTCTTTCTTAAAAGAAAATGCATGTTTTCTCCCTTTCAAAGAAGTCTTTCAATCTTGTCATGCCTAATGTTTTTCTGTATGCCTTTAACTGGTTCCTGTGAGAGGATGATTTGAGATGACCTGGTGTAATCATTCCCTCAAATGGGTAGTTAAGTGTTCTTTTTGACACACACGGCAAAGGGATTAATAACCAGAATTAAGAGAAAGAGGGCTTTTTTAATCCATGCAATCTTGTATTCAAACAAAAAAATCCCACAAGGAAACTCAGTAATAGGTGTTCTTGTCACAGCAATTTAGAACTTGCATAACCATCGTTCTTATTTCTTAATAATTTTCATAAATTAAATAAAAATGTATAGGAAGTTGTTTTCTCTCTTTTACTTAAGTCTGTACATAACCTCCTTAATTTTGCATCTTGGTTGGTAAAGACAGGCAAATTTGCTCTCTACAGAATACATTTGCTGACCTTATAAAACAAAAATCGGTGAAACTTCCAGGAGCGAGATGTGATTCTTGAAGCATGAGGCTTAGCACCACCTGAGAACTTGTAGAAGTCAAATTCTTGGGGTTTAGACTTACTGAATCAATAACTCTTCGAGGTAGTACTCTCCTTATGATTATAATGCACTGAAAAATATGCTAACTGTTGCCTAAAAAGGCTCCTAACTATTGAATTCTGAAGCAAAATCATGGTCTTTTAATTTTTAGTGAGTTTGGACAGAACTTTCAGAGACCCCTTGGCATTACTGATAAAAACATACTCATGTAGCAGAAAAAAAAACATGTCAAGTAACATATTTCTTTTTTTGGAGAACATATGAGCACAAGAAAAACATGAAAAGAAGATTTTACATAAAGAAATTAGAATTCATTCTTGCCTATTGCTTAGTCAATAGGTGTTGCTTGACCTAAAGTAAGTAAAAATAAACCCAATATTTCTTTTTTCTGTTTTCTCAGTCGTTCTTACCTCTCATCTTGTAGTGTTCTGGGACATGAAAATTCCTGAATAAAATCTCAATTTAATCTCACATGGAGAGTTTATGAAGAGACGCTGGCAATAAAACTATTTTAAAATTTTCTTTGTGTAGAAATTTTCATAGACATAATCTCTCTGCTTTCCTCTCCCAAGCCCTTCCCCTCCCTCCTCGCTCTTGCTCTACTTTATCATAAGAATTTTGAGATTCAAAATATTGAGAAATGGTGAAAAGATAAGTGCTAATAACCCCTTTCCTTTAACTCTCTGACATACTTTTGACACAAAATATCATTATATTGCATTGAAAGGACAGTCTTGATTTCCTTGTTGATTTCAAGAATGATGTAACAGTCACATGGAGAAATCTGATGAAGACAGCCCAATTGCTCCCCTGAGCTTTGACTGAACTTCAGGTAATTTCTTGCTGACTGTAGGCCCTAGACTTCACTTTCCTTACTAGATTCACGTTAGAAAACTTGCAGTTGTAAATTCTTTCTCTCTTCCCTTGAAACATATGTAAATCTCCCCTTCTCAAGTCAGTTTTACAAGACAAGAAATGTTTTTCTCAAGGACTAGAGAACAATCCCTTTGAAATGTACATTTCAAAGGACAGCACTCCCATCCCTCAGTCTCTGTGGGCAGCTAAGAGCCTAACTTCAGTGGGTGCCAATTATCAAACACTGATGGCCTAATTACAGAGAAACGCATTAGTAAACTCAGCGATAACTCCAAGTGCCAAAAGTAGCCCCTGATCAACCTCCCCCCCCATTGTCATTCACTGCTTTTCCATTTGCTCATCCCAGAGCTTAAAAAAATCTCCACCCTTTTGTTTCATTGGAATTGAACTCAGTCTCTCTTTTCTATTGCAGTAGTCTTGAATAAAGGCTTAGACTGTGTAATTCTGTCTAGTTCATTTTTTTTAATTTGACTAATAAAATGACAGAAATTGGAATTGTGCGTTTGAAAGGTTTAATTAAGAAATATCCTTTCCAATATTGTTCTGATGTCAACCAGACTAAAGATATTATTTAGAGAAATTCCCTTTATGGCAGAATGCTGAAAATACCTTATGAGGTGTACCTGTATGTTGTGAGAAGGCAATGGATTTTTATAATAATTTTCTAACAGTGACCAGGGAAGGCCATAGGTAGAAGATGATATCTGAGGGAAGGGACAACTATGTGTATTTCGATGACCAGGTATCCCAAGGACCTGGCACAGAGACTGACAAGACAGACACTTAATACATGTTTTTGAAGGAGTGTATGCCTAGGTGGATGCATGGTTAAATAACAAAGAGCCAAAGACCCTACCTTAAAACAATACTCATGTTAGAGCATAGTGTAGAAAAATGAGATGACAGGAAGTTTTCAATGACTTACAATTGAAATAAATTTAGAATTAGAAGAAGCATCTTCAGGAGGAGTGGTCATAGATAATTCTAAATAGTATAAAATATCTTGGAAGATGTGGAGTTTTGGATAAAGCGAACATACATTTATGTAAGTTATTATAATAAAGATTAAAATGCAATGTGGGAACATAAATGCTAATTTTCGGGGGGGTGGGAATCTGATCTTTCAGCACAATCCTCTAGTTGAATTTTATGCTTGTTGTCCTCTATAACTAAGATGTATTAGTAAGAAAGCTCATGAAAAATGCTGGTAGCCAAGGTTCTTTTGATCATTTTGTGTCTTTAAACCCTTTATGTCCTATTGCTGATTGGATTGAGCTTTTCTTACTTTGTTAACTCCCATTGATTTTTAGTTCATTGGATATTTAGTATATATTCTTTTTAATTAAATATCTTAGTGGCAGTAAATTCTTTTTGTCTAAATCGAAAATTTAAGTTTTCATGCATTTAAAAAAATTTTTGAACATCTTTATTGAAGTACATTTGACATAAAATAAAATGCTCAAGCCCTGGCTGATGTGGCTCAATGGACTGAGTGCTGGCCTGCAAACCAAAGGGTTGCAAGTTGAATTCCCAGTCAGGGCACATGCCTGGGTTGCAGGCCAGGTCCCTAGTAGAGGACTTGCGAGAGACAACCACACATTGATGTTTCTTTCCCTCTTTCTCTCTCTCCCTTACACTCTCTCTAAAAATAAATAAATAAATAAAATCTTTAAAAAATAAAATGCTCATGTTGAAATGATAGTTTGATGTTTTCTTTTACTATGTGCCCATGAAACCATCACCAAAACCAAAGTAGTGAACTTGCCAATGACCCCTAAGAGTGTCTTTGTGCCTCTCTGCATTCCATCCCCCCTATTCCTTTTTATCTCTTCATTGCCCCTGCCCCTGTAATCATTGATCTACTTGCTTTTTTGTTGCATTGGTCTTAGCACAGTGAGTACTTTGAAAATCTGATTAATTTTACTTAACATGGTTATTTTCAACTATATCTGCACTGTTGCACCACTATTTTATTCTGTTTTGTTGCTGAAAAGTAATCTATTGTATGAATACACCACCATGTATTTGTCCATTCATCTCTTGATGCAAACCTGTCTTGTTTCCAGATATTGGCTCTTGTAGTTAAAGTAGTGTGAACATTCCTATAAACTCCATATGTGAACCTACATTTGCTTTTAAATCTCCTGGATAAATACATATGAATAGAGTGGCTGAGTCATGTAGGAGATAGGTATTTAATTTTTAAAGAAACTACTAGCTCTTTTCCAGAGTGTCTGTAAGATTTTGTATCCCCACTGTTAAGTAAGAGAATTGCAATTCCTCCACATATTTGCCAATATTCAGTCCTTTTAGGATTGTAAATTGTGTATTGAATCTGTAAATCAATTTGGAAAGAACTAATGTCTCCAAAACTAAATCCTCTAGTCCATGAACATGGTATAATTTTCATTTATTTAGGTCTTTTAAAATTTCTCTGAGTAAAGTTATCTACTTTTCAGGGTACAAGTCTTAATAGATCATTTATGAGATTTATCCCTTCTTCATATTTCTGATGCTATTTTAATAATATTTTATTTTAAAATTTTTGTTTCTTTCCCTATCATGTAAAAATAGTTGTTTTTTTATGTTAATCCTACAAACTTACTAAACTCAATTATTAGCTTTAGTAACTTTCCTATATA